AATTACGCTGACGATACTCAGGTCTATGTGTCCCTGACAGCAGGAGAGCATGAACCAGTGGACTCGCTCCTTCACTGTGTCCAGCAAATCGGTGATTGGATGCAAAATAACTTTCTCCAACTAAACACCGACAAAACTGAAATAATTGTTTTCGGACCCCAGAAACAAAGAGAGAGCGTTATTTGTCACCTCCAGGCTCTCTCTCTACAACCCTCAAATCAGGTCAGAAATCTAGGAGTGATAATGGACTCAGACTTAAATTTCAAAAGCCACATAAAATCTGTAACATCAGCAGCTTATTACCACCTAAAAAACATTGCTAAAATTAAAAACATAGTGTCTAAGGCAGACTTGGAGACTCTTATACACGCTTTTGTCTCCAGTCGGTTAGACTATTGCAATGGCCAGCTCACAGGTCTGTCCAAACAGGCTGTAAAACAGCTGCAGTACATTCAACATGCAGCAGCTCGAGTCCTGACCAGAACTAGGAAGTGCGACCACATTAGTCCAGTTCTCAGGTCTCTGCACTGGCTTCCTGTGGCTCAGAGAATAGACTTCAAAGCAGCTTTACTTGTGTACAAGTCTCTCCATGGTCTCGCGCCAAGGTACATCCATGACATGTTTGTGCCATATGAACCGACCCGGACTCTGAGGAGCACAGGGACTGGACTCCTGTTAGTGCCCAGAGTCGGTACTAGACATGGGCAAACTGCATTTCAGATTCATGCGGCTAGAGTCTGGAACCGTCTTCCTGAGAATGTGAGACAGGCGTCTACTCTGGCATCTTTTAAATCTAGGCTCAAAACAATTCTGTTTAGCTGCGCATATACAACTGAATGATTTTATCTTTTCATCTTTGTTTTTATCTTTAATCTTTTTAATGCACTGTGACTATTTATGATTTTAGTCCCATCTGTGATTTTAATGTTTAAAGGTTTTTAATTTTTGTGATTTTATTTTTAATGTTTTTAATATATCTTGTGCTCTTAATGTGTTTGATTTATGCATGATGTGATAGGGGATGTGAAGCGCTTTGCGTTGCCTTGTGTAGGAAAGGCGCTCTACAAATAAACGTTGATTGATTGATTGATTGATTTATACTACAAGGATTCTTAGGAAAAACAGCAACACATTAGAAAAATTAGATGAAGATTTTGGTATGAACTTTACTTTCAGACCAGATAAAACTATGAATTTAAGCCTAACATTTGTGAGGGCTTTTTCCAAATTCCTTTATTTGACTTATCAATAGATAGAAATGGGATGACCACCCCCAACGGGACTGAATGTGGGCTACAATGTCCCCACATTTAAGCTCATAAACTGCTAAGAAAGAACTCTAAGTTAGTTGAAAGTTAATATTTGACACTATCGATATAAGAGCTAAATTTGTATTCACTGACATAGGCACATATATATCATACCGTGGAACATTCCGGCAATGCAAGGACAGATTAGTAAACGCATTGAAAACATAAGCCTGAACTTCTGTGTAAACATTTTCTTGACAATAAAGCAATTGCATCCTAGATACAAAAAAAATTGAGATAACCCTTGCGGTGGGGAAAAAGTCTAAAAATAGATAAAAGTGGAATGAAACTTGGCTAACTCGTCTTGTTCACAGTGTGTGGACATCATGTGGACAAGCGTAGGCTGCTGGAGATGTGCTGTCTTCACCTCAGTCACATTCTGTTGTGTGGGCAAAGAGACATCAGTAATTAGAGTCCTCATCAGGAGGAGACGGACACACCCCTTTTTACCTCCAACGAGACGCTATTTTCAGAGATTTTAGCTTTCCTTATTAAAGAAATGCTTACTGATATGTTATTGTTTGCTTACATGTTCCCCTGTCTGCTAACTCTGCACTCGAGAAGTAATAATGACTAAAATGTAGACTGGGAGAGTGCATACCCCCGCCAACAACACATATTTTCCCGTCACCCTATCTCGTTATCTAGTTTTTTCTCATTCCTGTCTACACACACAGACAATTACTGTGGTCAAGCTAAGTATATAGTGTACCTTTCTAGTTGCAGCTATTTTCTAAGTTGAAATGTCAATTTTTGCAAGTCAAATGAGGTACAGTACTTAAAATTATTTGCATTTTGAAAGAGGGATGTTTGCATGAATCTCGCCCACAGTCAGGGACGTGCAGCAAGGGAGGATTATTTATTGTCTGATTAAATATTTTTGGAAACAGATCTCCTCTTAATGCTTCTAAAGCTCAAACATGCTGCTTGTGATATGCCAGGTTTAGCATATATTTCCATCAATGTCACTTTGACAGGCCTGAAAAGTTCTGGAAAGTTCTGAAAAGTTGGAGGAATATTCCCAGTATTGGTTGTTATTGTAAATCCCAAAGGTACTTACTTTATGCTACAGTCAGGTTAACAGTAATCCCATAAATTGCTAACTTTACATTCTTGCATTCAGGATACAATAATCTCAAAGAAAAAGATAATTTCACCATTTTAGGGCAATCCTGAGTAGTTTTTGAATAAACATGTCAATATCTTTGGTGTGTTCCATCTTCTCTGTCTGGTGCACACTAGGGTATAGTCTTGCACAGTTTTTCCAATGTGGTTTTACTGCAAATGGCAAATACATTCTTGAATCTTGAATGTTCAGGGTCAGAACCATAGACTGTAAATATTAACAGATGCGGTCACGCCTATCTCCGCCGTTCTAACTAATGTGCCACAACTTCCGCGGTCTATGGGCAGTTTCAAAATGGCCGCGGGGGCTGGAAAATGTGAGTCCCATTCATCCTCCTCAGCTTTGACACACATGTGGAACGGAGCTTTGAGCCAAGAGCCAACTTTTGGACCATCCTGTAAAGACGTTTTCGAGAGGTCAGCTAATGCTATATGTTAGCATTGAATCATTCTTGTTCCGGGTCCACCCCCATCGGCCGGGGGTGGTATTGCAAGCATGTCAGCGCACGTCATTTTGGCCACTTTTTTTGCCAGGACCCGTCCCCACTGGTCAGAACGAGAAAGGCCACGGGTGCTCTTCACCATTCTACAACTAATACATTTTACGTCAATTGAAATGAAAACAACCGCGAGTTTACATTATACACATCCTTGCCTTCGGACAAGGTTTGTTTTCACCAGAGATATCTAGTGCAGTGCATTATAAACTGTACTTATTTTCATCTCATGTTCAACAATCAAGAACTTTTAGGAATTACCGACTGTTTAAACTATAATTATAATAATACGAAGGCATTTGAAATACTTACACATTCAATAGTCCCTTTTTAGACGCTCAGAAACAGTAATTCCCAGGTTGTAAACAACACAATCCACACTGGGCTTTCCCTGAACAGTTCTCACAAAACACTTATAAATATTTGAATTCATGTCCTCTGCCTTAGAACTGCAAAAGTACAGCACACGGCTTATCTCCCACAAACAGGCTCCCTGCATTTAAGGTATTTTTCAAGTCACACAAATAAAGGTCCACTGTGTGTTCTTCCCAAGGCTGTGATCAGTAACATTAGAAAAAAAACAGGCACCATTTCTGTACTTCGGTATTATCGTGGCAATAGGGATTTTCCTTTTAAAAATTATTTCAAGTTTAACAAATTGCACTATTTAGAAAGCCATACACATAAAATGGACAGGGCACATCCCCATCATCTGTATGTATGGACAGCTGGCTATCTCTATGAAGCCCAATAGGGAAGTGCTCGTGGATGAAGTTGTGCTCCAAATCTCATTGACTCTTATTGAATTACATTTTACAAGTAAACTCCTCTTTCTCTGTATATGTTTGTGTCACACTCACCATTTTTGGCTTAAAAATCTGTATGATCCTGATGTTTTTTCTTTCTTTTATACATATATAGTATTGGTATATATGCAACTGACCAATCAGGTGCCTTTTATCCCCCGAATTCAGCTTCAGCTTGTGAGTAGCGCAAACAGGAATGGACCGGCCGCTGATGAGCTCTTTGGTTGCTAGGTTGTTGCTATCCACGGATTTGGCTCCAGAATCGCATTCATGGAGCCAGTTAGAGTAAGCTTGAATCGGCTTCTTTCGCACTAAGGCAAACCCTGGGTCCACTCCACTATGATCTACAATCCTCACAGACCTTGATTTGTTCCGGGAAAACTTCAAAAGAAGAAAAATAAGGTGCAAAGAGATTCATAGCTGTTTTTTTTTTTAACACTATGGAACTTATAATATAACAGAATATTGTTCTGGATTTAGGGGTGAGTGAATTTGTTTATGTCACGTAATAGCTGTCCATTTATGTTCAAGTAAATATATTCCAGAAAGCAACTTGTACTTTAATTCAGGCGAAAACTTAAACGGAAGAATAGGTATTTTTGTTTCCAAAATTGAATCTCTAGATGCAAAAGCTGATCTCCTGCCGCAGTCATTAAATGTTCTGTGTCTTGGTGTCTGTGAAAACTAAATTCATTTAAAAGGAAAGTGTTATTATTTTATTTTTTTCTTTGGCAGGGATTACAAATTCTTCTGGGTACATTGTTTTTCTCTGTTTGAAAGGTACAACAGCCAGTGCCAAGAAATAACCCTAATGCCACTGTAAGCTGTCTATCCTTATTACCATGGGCCTCTCTTCAAGACATTCTCCAATATCAACACAGAACACATTTAAATGAACCACAGCCACGTCACGGTTCATCTTAAAGTGGATTTTCTCTCTTTTTTTTGTCTTGGAAATAGAAATCTCCATAACCAGTGCATCTCATCTAGCCTTAGCCTCAATTCGCCTATGGCATTGGCACGTTTAGTGTAGTCTGTCCATGCTGCCATGTTGCAGTCTCCTTTGGCAGCATTTGTTGTTGTTTACAGTGAATTTCAGGATGGGAAAACAGGCATAACTTCCTCCACTGTATTTAAAAAGTCAGCATTAGCTACAGTGCTTGAAGTTATTTTCAAGTTTCTCCAGTAAAAGCATGTATCTTAGCCAGAACATGCCAAGCAGTACATACAAATAATAGAGTCCGACAGTTGTCCTGCTTCTCTCATGGACTTTGCTGCTCCATGTTGTCAAGGAGTGTGTCTTTTTTCATGAACTGAAAATTCTTTACGGATCTCCAAACGCCCAAATAGCTATCGCTCGTTGATTGGCTGCTCGGGGCTGCGTTTTCTCTATGCAGATGTTCCCTTTGCATTTCCAGCATTTCTGTCTCCGTCATAACTTTTGAATTCGGGCCACCTTCAACATCTGTAGTCAACACTTCTCCGTTAGCTACGTTGCTACTGGAAAATTCTCCTTCTGCGTCTAAATTAGCTCCGTTAGCGTTGCCGTTTAGCTGCGGTTTCTCGCTGTACGGCTCTCCGGGAAGTCCGTCCTCTTTGCCTTCGCCCTCCAAATCCTCGTAAGCACTTTTTTTCTTAGTTTCAAAATACTTGACGATGCAATAGATTATGGAGCCGACCGTGTTGACCACCACACCTCCGATGAATAGTTTGGTGGGTGCGACGTCGCTGAAAGCTAGCATGCCCACGGTGATGGTGGCGATGCTTTTGACCACGCCCACGAAGCTGGTGGTGACGGCGGAGTTGATGTAGGTGCAGTGCAGAGTGGTGAAGTTCATGGCACAGCCGATGAAGATGCAGAGGATGAAGATGCAGGTGACGTGAGGGTCCTTCCAACCCTCGTAGGTCCACATGTGCACAGCGTCCAGAGAGATGAGGGCACAGACAAACAGCACCTAAAGAGTCAGGGAAAGGAAAAGGTCGCTTCAATAAAGTGGAATGATCGTGTCTGTTCAAGAAACTTTTTAACCCTTTCTGGATACATTTGAAACTGGTGAAAGTACCTTTAAGCCAAATGCTAAAATGTAAACTTTCTCCAGCTCGGAATGTAATACTGTTGCAGGTATGATTGCAGGGCTAAAAAGGTCGTAAAAAATCGATGAGCCATGTTCCGCTGATCTCGGAGCACTATGAACCAGAACTACCGTCAAATGTGCCGCAGTGACCGTGGTTAGTATGACATTCGGATCAGATTCAGATGAGCTTGAATTTTTCCATTTCAATTTTTTAACCATGAAAAAGCATGTTTGAATATTTTTGTCTCTTCAGTCACTAAAAAAATCAGTTGACAAATTTCAACGTGATCAAAATTTGAGATTGTTGTATTTGCCTTTAAAATATTCAATATGTTAATTTTCAATGCACTGTGAAATTTGATGATACTAGATCTTTTTTTGTTGTACTGCTTTGTTAACTTATTCTTCCGTCACTAACTTGAATTTTTTTTGGGACTGCATTTTTTATGATATACTAACTATATACTGTATGTATAATGCCACAATTCATGCAAAGACACTGAGAATATGCCACAGTGTCTTTGCATGAATTGCGGCATAAGACAATGAAAACAAGTACGTTTTTGGCCCTCTGTTGGATGTTTGAGCAAACCTCTCGTGGTCTTACCGGGGAAGCGGTGCAGGCGATGGCGTACTGTGCGGTCAGGGGCCCAAACTCACTCTCCAGGCTGGTCTTCTGGATCAGGACCAGGTACGAGGCATGGATTATCACAGCCAAGACTCCAGTGACGTATCCAAACGGGTCCCCAGTCAAATCACCGGCACCTTGGTAGGAAAGAAAAACCAGTTGGCAAAGAAATATTCATCCATCTAGTCCATTTCTAAATTTATTCATCAATTCTCAGAGGCTCCGACCAATGTTTGACTTTGATCCTTCTCAGCTACCTCAGTTGTTTGCTTTTTTTGCTCTATCATTTTCAACGAACTCACAGAGAACTAGCATGAACTGCTGACCAGCTACATAAACAGACTTGGTGATTAACAGTTTTTCCATACGAGTATTTTTGTCCTCTGTCACTCTTTCAGACATCCATCCATCCATCTTCTTCCCCTTAATCCATTTCTGCGTCTCTTTCTTACAAGTATGCAAAAGATAACGAAGAAAAAGTATACCGATTTTTTGATGGAGCATGAATTATGTGTAGGTTTTTGATTATGACCCGGAGATCGTGATGTTTGTGATTTTTTCAATAAGATGAAGAAAGTTGTTGCGGTTTCATTTGTTCACAATTTACATTTAAAAGACTCTTTCCATTGGGGCAAATAAATTAGGAAAAATAAGTTAGGTACCCAGCTTTAAAGTAGCAATATGTCAGGTCTTCTTTAAATGGCCCTCTTATGTCAAAAGGCATTTATAAACCATGCTCCAATACTTCTTCAGCTGATAATAGTAGTTCAGCCGAGATATTAGAATTTCAACATTTGTTTTACAGCCCCTAACCGTTTTACTAATCAGAAAGTCTGTGTTGCCAGAGCTCACCGTGTCAAGCTAATCACACTGGTAAAGTAACATGTGGCTGCAGGATTAAAATGGTCTTGTTATGATTCCCAAATCATTAATGACGAATCAAGGAATAAAACGGGTAAACGAGAAGCACTTTTTCTTTTTATCATTTTAAAACTTCCTCATTTGTACCTTCAAAGAGCTCCCATCTATTCACTCCCAAAAAATGAAAAGCACCCTCTGAGCCATATCAAGATTACCCAAGCGTAAAACCGTATTAATCTATTTTTATGTTTGTTTGTTTATTAATACTGTATTATCGGCTATATCGTTGAAAAAAAAAAAAAAACATTCTGCCGACCAAACATCTTACTCCTATTCCGCTTGATTAATCCTAGGTGGCTTATGAAGAAGCAGATATCACATCACTGGCGATTATTGGAAAAGATTAGCCACTGAACGACAAATCTATCTATTAGCTACATTTCACAGTTCACATTTCGAGCCACCTCCCGCATATTGAGAAATATAGCAGTGGAGATGGAGTGGGAGCCTGAATTATGTGTAGGTTTTGGTTTATGACTTGGAGATCGTTAGCGGTAATGGAAAACAAGAACCCACTGCCAAGAGATGATGATTGAAGATGCATATGTGAATAAAATATGAAAGAAAAAAAATGCTCTATATAAAACATTTGTGAGGTGAACGGAAGAATCTAGAAGAAAAGCCGTTGTTGGGTTGAGTTGAAAACACGTTGAGGGAGCCATTGGTGTAATTGGACATTTACAACAGCTTATAGTCAAAGAGATGAGGCCAACAGATGTTCCTAGCAGCCCTGCTCAGAACAAAAAGTAAACGCATCCAAATGGACTTGGCCCAATGCCACCGCGGAACCTAGTGTACCTTCAGGACGAGGGAAAAATGTGATTTTAGACGGGGGAGCGAGGTGACCATAAAGGGCGAAAAATCCAAATCACCGTTGAGTAAAAGGAACTCTAAAATGTCAAAATGACACCAGCCAGCTTCATGGTGAAATCCTTAAAAGACACAAATGTACCGAATTACTAGCCATTTTGTACAAACCCCAAATCGAGTCGAGTAAAAGTGCTGCAGTATTATGTGGTAAAAAAATAAAAAGGAATTTGACGTTTTGCAAAAGTCAATGTGCAATTCGTACCAAATGAATGAAGCTTAAAGCTGGGGTGTGTAACTTTGTTCTTCATGAATATTACAGGTTGTTTTCCCCAACAGTCTTATATATAAAAAGCATTATGAAAAGATCTTATTAAAAAAACATGTAATATTTTGTACACCTGCAAGAAAAATCTCATTTAACCCCAACCCTAACCCGGGCATTGAGCTAATGTTTGGAAAAGATGAACAGATGATACAAAACCCTGCTCAAACCTGATTGCAAAAACTACATGAAAAAGAAGAGATCAAGTAGTGGAAAAGGGGTATATGGTCTGAGAGTGTTTTGGGCCTGTGTCTTGTGTGTGTTGTCTACGTATTATACCATATGATATCGTATTATGATACTGCTCTACTGTATTGCTTTTGTTCTTTTTGAAGTTTTGGTTCCATATCCAAAAAAAGAATTTTACATTTTACAAAAGTCATGGTTACATAGATTATATTACATGGTTATATTTTTGTTGGTTGAACAGTCAGTATGGTTGAACCTATGGAAATGTCAAATAACCACTAAATATGATTATTTAGAAATTTCCTCACAAAACTTTCACCACAAAAATAGTTTAGTTGAACTTTGCTTTTGGACTTTGAGCTGCAATAACAATAGTGAAAGAATGTGCAAAATGACTGCGTTTACCGGCAAGTGCAGCTCCTCCAGTGGTGATGAAAACAGCGACCACCACTCCTATTGATGGAATGCCATTTCTGAGCACGCAGACCCCGATACTGAGCGTGAAGAGGGGCAGGCAGCGTTTGAACACCACGTACATGGGCAAACTGAGGCCGCGGAGAGACCAGAGCGTCAGGGTGGACTGAAGGGTGGAGAGAATGCAGAGTGGAGCAAAATCCTAGAGAAAGAAAACAGATTTTTTTTAGGGCTGCATGGTTACTAGCAGAGAAATAGTCAAAGAGCTTCAGTATTTGTGTGCCTTAAGATTGCCATAACTTGTGGGCGCCCCAAGGGTCAATACTGGGACCCACATTATTCATATTCATACGTACATTAATGAAATATGCAAAATATACAAATTAAGTAAATCACAATGTTCTTGTTTTTGCTGGTGATGACTTGGAGCAACTTTTAGCCACAAACTTTGGAAATGTACAGATGACAAACCTAATTTCAAAATCATAAATTTACAATATTTTTTGAAAAAGAAAATACAATAGTGGTCAAGATTCTTATAATTGATGATACCTGAACAGAAAAAGTACCAGAACATTTTAGGAGTTAATACATAAGATACATAAGATGACAAGAAATCCATTTACCCAACACCAATGCTTTATTCGTATTCTATGGTTTATTTATGTCACATCTAAACTGTTGTGTTAAAGTGTGGACAGACCGTTATAAATCTCACCCACAGTCTTTAATGCACTTTGCAAAAAAAGAGCATTTGTATCGTATCAAATTAAACTGCGGGACTTAAATTATAACTTTAGAATGGCTCAAATAATGTTTAGAGTGTTATTTGCCAGCCACCTAATGTAAAAAACATATTCCCTGATAGAGATGCTCACCATGATTATTATTACGTTAAGAAGTACTTTAAAATCCTTGTGTATCTCAGTGCATGGAGCTAATCTTGTGTTACTGTTCTACTTTATTGCCTTTTAAAGTTTTTGTTCCAAGTTGTCTAATTGAGTCACGAGGATTTAAACTCGGGACCTTCTTGCTGAGATGTGAGGGTGCTAACCACTCTGCCACCGTGTCACCCTTTTGAATGATATGAATGATTGTGTGAAAAATATAGTGTGTCAATGTTGGTCATTTGCTAAATTACCTAAAACAACTAGATTTGCACAACACAGACCCACAATGTAATGGTACATTGCATTGACAAATTCACTTTTAGTTCCCAGGGAGCACTCTTAAAAAGTTTAAAATCTCAAAGTGAATATGTCCTATTAAATCCTATTCCATATACAGCATTTGTAGACCTATAGACCAAACCTATGCATTTTCATTCCTCATAAACATAATGGAGCAGAAAGAGGCTGTATGTCAAACTGTCAGTCGTTCAATTAACCAATCACTCAAGACTTCACTCACTCAATCGACCAATCAGATGGCAGGACACTTCAGCTGCTCACCACCAGTTTGTGATCAGCAAGTCACATTTACCTCCATCAATATCTGTCATCATTCCAAGAGCGGCGCAACCAAGAGGGAATGAAATATGCTGCTGCTTTAGGCCAATAAAATCTGGATTTATGTCACTCTCCCATAGAAGGGCTTTAGCAGCTAATATGCATTTTTAATTATATTCAAATTGACAAAGGCAGATCAAGAGTATTTTAATTCCCAACAAAGGATTACATAGCTATTTTTTTATTTACTGCTTATTATTATTGGAAATTTCCAAGTTGGGCCAGTGAGATCAAGGAATACAAATTGTTCTAATTACAGACCTACGGCAGTAACTGTCTGAAAGTACTTCAAAGCCGTAGCTGGAGGGAGTTTTGATGAAGTAAAAATAGTCTACATCAGTCTATTAAAATGGTAATTCCCATCACTTTGGGAAATGGGGCAAAATGTGGCTCTATCTGACATCTGAAGATTATGTTTTGTTCATGGGTGAAAATAAACTGCAAATATTAGTGAATTCAATGAGTATTGTGTTGTGCATAAGACAGCGAGGAAGTGTCGTAATCGAGCATTGACCCTGGTCCTATTCAAAAAATCAAAAAATGGGCGTAATTTGCAATATCCAAAGACAATTTGTGGTATAGGCAAGGCAAGTTTACATGTATAGCAAGAGAAGATACATGTTTTTTCACTTTCATTTGAATTTCGGTCTGGAACTTGGTCCAATTCTAACACAAAAGGGATACACTTTCTGTTTAATATTTCTTATAGTGTGTCAAATTGTAACTTGCATGCATTATACTGTAAGACCTATCAAGACAATATAACAGATTACTTGTAAAAATAGACACGTAACTAGATTTATTTGAATGAGGACGACAAAAGCAATTTCGAAAGTTGAAAAATTAGTTATTTCTTTGTTGTCCGTGGCAAAAACCAAAAATCTTTTGTCCAGGACACATAATTCATACTTGTTTTAAAACTGCAAAATAATATAAAAATACCGTGATGTGGAAGTTGTTCTTCTGCTACGAAATTGGTTCTTAGTTAGAAATGGAGCAGTCCTCATGAAATCGTGGTTAAGCCATTTTTATACCCAGAAAATCCTTGTTTGGCATTAGCTGTAAAAAGTTTTGGAGCCACTGTGGTATGTATTCAAGGATATACAATGCTAAATGATGAATAATACCCTCAAATCGATAGCATATGTTGACCCTCATCTCATCAAAACTAAATATATAATGATAGCATTTGGGAAGGCACCCTCAGTTTTGCTCGGGGCCACATATTGGCCCTGCATCACAGCAATACTTTACCATAAACTAATCATCTTTACCTTTCCAAAAACAGTCCGTTCAGATGTTTCTTACCTTACATAGTTGAAAGGTGAACGGTGGAACGGATACTTTCCCAGTTCTCCGCAGCACCGCCAGTGTGAGCGCCGCGGTGCTGCTCGTCAGGCACTGGATGAGCGTCAGGAAGCCGAAGTGGTACTTGCTGATGAGAAACTTCAGCAGGATGTTGAGAGATCCCGAAAACACGCCATGCGCCACGGCCACAGTTATGCCCAGCAACCGGGTCCGCAGTACGTCCATGATGGCGCACGCTGCTCTGGCTCCGTTTGTTAGTAGACAAGTTCACGTGAAGGATTTGGATTTTTACGCACGGGTTTTACGCGCAGCCACACACGCGTTTGGGGTGAGGGAAAGTGCATACGCGCGCGAGAAACAGGTCAAAAAGCATTTCACACATAAATCATTTGCAATGGAAACCAAAAAAAGAAAAAGAAAAAAAAAGAGTACCTCGTCCACAGTGCAATGAACTTTAAAGGGCAAGGTTTTTGAGGCGCACCAAACGAAAGTACTTTTCTTTAGTTGCTGGACACAAAAGGTTCATACAACATGAATCTGGAAGTACTCTTTTACTCGTTGGAGTCCACTGTGAGGTCTCAGTGTATACGCTCTGATAGAGACGCGGCTCGTTGTGAAATATGACATTTTGCCGCAGCGACTCTTGGCCAAAGAGAGAGAGAGATAGAGCGAGAGAGGGGGGGAGGAGAGGCGGGAGGAGGAGAGGGGATGTCGTGATGCCGCTGAAATCACGCGGTCTGGGGGTTTCTCTCTGTGCCGGAAGCAAAGTCTGCTTTATCAGAGAAAATACTCCAATTGAGCATGAAGTCGAGTAACTTTAAACTTTTCAGGTAAACATTTTGAAGTTGCAATATGCAGGGCCCATCACCTGGTGTAGAGAGCAGGGATGTCCAACCCATGGCAAGTCGGGCAACACAGCTGTACATATAGGTGCCAAGAGTCTCAGTATTATTCATGGGGAGTCAGCATTTCAGATTTATGCAAATAAAATCTGGAACAGTCCTCCAGAAAATGTGAGACAGGCTTCTGTACTGACAATGTTCAAATCCCAGTTAAAAACAGCTTTGTTTAAAGCTGGGTTAAAACTGTTCTTAAACAAATAAAGGATCGTATTTCATTATTTAATGCAATGGGATTTTATGATTTGATTATTGTTTTGTCAAGCCCTTGGAGTTGTCTTGTGTGTGAACTTTGCTATACAAATAAACATGCCTTGCCTGCACATGGGGACAAATATTGGTCATACACAAATCTGGCCTTGGACACGTAGTAATCGGAAAGTTCAAATAAAGCACACAACCAATATGTGGACGAAAATGCTCAGTCTCAAACTTGGTGGTGGCAGCTTGTTCTGTGCGGCTGCATTTTTCAGCAGGGACAGGGAAGATGGGAAGAGGATGGAGCGAAGTACAGGACAATCTTGTTGGAGTTTGCAAAATACATAAGGCTCTGGTATACCTTCTATCAGGACAACACTTCAAATAATATTATTAAAATCAATCTTTATTAAGGACACAATACAGTAATATATAGTTAAAAGAATATATCCAAAACACACAGTATAATGCATATTGAAAAAGAAATATATACAGGAAAACAAAACAAAAAAGAGAACATTACAGCTTCTGTAAAGTATAAAGGCATGACCTCCATAATAAGTCCATAATTTGGAGGTGAACAGCAGTGAGCAGAACTCGGGGCTGACCAGAGTCTTAACAATTGCATTATTAGAGTTCCTCAGATGACACAAGAATCTGAACTGAACATAACGAAGAGATGCAGAAGAGGAGCGGACACCACAGTAAGCAAACATCTCACTTGCATTGCTGTGCCGAGGAACCTTCAGCAGCAGCCTCAAGGATCTGTCATAATAAAATGGTTTAAAACAAAATAAATGAATGTTTTAAAAGAACCAAGTTGAAATCCAGACCAGAATCCAACAAAAAGTGAAGTAGATAGAATAGATTGTGTGTATTTTATTTATTACTTAAGCCTTTATTCCCATTATTATCTGATAGAACAGTTTAAGTACAGGCATTGAAAGAAAAGTAGCTAAAAAGTTTTCCCTGACCCCTGGAGAGGAGTATATTCACTTTCCTAGTTTTAATTGATTCGTGTAGAAACTGATGAAGCTCTAATTTGTTTCCAAAGCCTGAGCAGAGATTACAAAAACGAGAGAAAGACAGAACTGATAAAGGATTATGTGATAAAGAAATTAATAAACGAGAAAGAAAAAAACTGTTGTGGTCATATGATTGTCAAAAGGGATTACAGCCAAAGCCATTGCTAAAATCCTCCGGCAAAGATAGTCCTGACTACGCCAAGCCTCAACGTCTGGAGATGTTATTTTTTTGATTTTGCAATGTAAAGTATATGACACGTACAATACTTATTAACAGCTGTTTTTACCGCTCAAAATACTTATTTTTATGTGTTGGCTTGCGTCTCCACAGCTATGGCTCCTAACATAGCCTCATGAAGTCACTTGCTTGTCTCATTTAGTTATCTGGAATATGTCTTTATACTCCAACACTTATTTTCACCTCAGAATTCTTCACAGAGATGTTTGAGTGTTCTTCCAACCCTCAGACACGGTCCAGAATATATTTTAATTGAAATCCTTTGTCAGGACTTTGACCGTGGGGACACAAGGAACGCAAGGCTGGTCTTATCGAGCCAAGACCATTAGCTTCCAATTAACACGGAAATTAAGAGTAGAAACACACGCTTCCCACAAACGGACAGCAAATTAACACACTGCATATAGATTAGCATGAGTAATTTCACTTTTAAAACGTAGGAGTGAACCTGCAGAGGAACGCACAAAGAAAAACATATTCAAGGTAAACTTACTGTCCATAATGCAAAGCTTTCAAGAATAAGAAGAAAGGTAGAAGATAAATTATTCAATAGCAATTAAAGGTGCAGTGCGAATATGTATGATAAAGGCCCTGTCTCAGGCTTGTGTCCATGTGCATGTTATTGTTAATATATTTTTTCCACAGTATGGCATTTAACAGTGCATGTACAAACAAGTGACGTCATAGTGCTTATGTGGAAAGGCAAGTGGGCTATACCTGCAAGAATCATGATTTTTGAGCAGTGAAAAAATAAAATAAATTGCTATTAGATGTTGTCGAAGGCCATAGTATATAGCCATAGCAAATATTGAATACCAGATGGCGGATAACAGTTGCACAGGCTTTTGGTCATGTTACTACTTATTTATTATGAATTGCCCGTTGAAATTAATCATCACTTATTGGAGGGAGTCCTTTTGATGCGATTGCTCTGGCAAATGGCTGCAAAACAAAAGTTACCTTCATGGCTATACAGACCAAGACCTTATGCACATACAGTACATAAAAACATAACGGCAAAGACAAAAACAAAGGGTTAAGTTACTTATAGTTTTCTTAACATTATTTACCAAAAGTTTTTTTTTAATGGCGAATCATGCATGTTTGACTCATTTTTATTTTTTGACCAAGGTCCTCTCACTGGTTTTACTTACTTTGTTTGCCAGTTTTTATAATTCTGTGGAAAAAAATAAACCATTTGATCGGCGGTGGAGCGGTGAGAGCACAAAGGGGCAGAGTGCAGAGCCATATGTTAGGACTCAATAAAGAAGTGCACAAACGTGGAAAGTCATTTTGGTTTCAGGCGGAATTTTGAGAAAAAGAAAACTCACAACCTTTTATACTTAGATATCCAACTATTTACTCAAAGCTCATTTCTACATCTGTCTTATTTAGCTTTACATATGTTTTAAACTATGAAGGTGATTTTTGACCATATAATGACTTTTATCTAACATGACACTAATATTTCTAATTTATTTTAAATGTAATTAATACAGTTATGTTTGAATTTACCCATAATTCTAATGCATTTTAAATAGGCTTGACATTGTAGAAAGTTTGACTGATTATTTGAGTTCAATGTTTAGACTGAAGTAAATACTGGCCATGGCCAATGGCATGGCCATTGTAGCCATTGTATTGACCCTAATGCAAATTTATATGAGAGTTGAAAATCATATCAGGGCCACTAAAAATTTTACATTTATACAGAATATTTAGAAATGTGTTTTTAACAGTAGTACCGGTAACTTCTAAAATAGTGCTTGACTTTGAAACCCCTTTTGAACCCTGTTGGCTGTTTTCGGTACTTCCTACTGTTAGTGACCATCCACATATCTCACAAAAAGGTGTTGTTGATGGTAGTAAACAATGGCCGGGCTCAAGGATTTCACGTGACCGGCTCTGGACCAATCAGATATCGTTATGCTGAAGACCCCGTTTGCCTCGGAGTCGATCTCAGTTGGAAAGCCCCAGTCTCCGTCACTTTACATTACGTTTACTTCACAACAGCCCACGTATTCAGCACACACACATAAACATGTTATGAAAGTGAACAGTTCCTTTGCAAATGCACATAGGCGCCATTAGAAAAACATATTTGAAAGGCTTACAATTTCCCCATAAATAAAAGTATTTTTTGTTAAATCTATTAGTCAGGTTCAAACCCTTCTTGAGCAAATTCTTTCAAATGTACCCATAACAAAACATGATGTAGCTAGAGGGATACAACTTTTACTTTTTCAAAACAGAGATCTTTTTTTTTGACCCCTCTGTGCGTTCTCTGTCCATTTTAGAATGCTCAAAAGTGAACTTATTGATCAAGAAATAGGCTATTTGTTGTTGTATATATTCACTACAAAAATAGAATAAATACCAGATAACAACTACTACAAAAAGAAGATGCAGAACTCCGTAAAATACATTTTATTCAGGCACTTCAATCAATGTTTTCAATTAAGCACCCACTGGTTATTCAATTATATATACATTGGTCACAATTAATATTAACCCTTTAGTCGCCAGAGTTTTTTTTCTTTAACTGTATGTGTAACAGATGCATGGTGGACCCCTGAAACTGAGGACTACAAAAATCTACAAAAAAAAAAAAAAAAAAACATTCTAGGGAAATACTTGTGGGAAGCCAGGTTGCCGTACAGAAAGTGTCCTGGATTCATGTAACTCAACAGCTACAAGCGCCTAAAGGGCTATAATGTGATTGCTATACGGACATTACTGGAAAATCAGCTGTGAAATTAGCGACGCAAAATCATTCAAGTTATATTTGTCATCCTGTTGGCACAGACGCACACACACACACACACACACACACACAATACCGGACCTTTGATTACAATCTACCAC